AATTTAGCCGTTGGGGGGAAGTTATGGCAAATTTTCGGACGCTGAACATTTTCTGTGTTACTTCAATACATTCCATTCACAGAAAGAGGACTTCTTAAGATCGCAGCGATGATTTTTTGATAGGGGAAGTCCCCCTCACCTGGAGAGGTGTGCTGCAGTTTATTCCAAAGTTTCCGTTCTAATTTCTAGCCGAACATTTTACGTTGTTTTTGCGTGCGTTTCCAAACTTTGCCCCTGCGGAATGGGAGACCCCCAGGCAAGGAAGAGTGCGACTCTGAACCGGCTCCGGACGCAGCTTCGGAGGAAACGGGAGGCTCTCGCCGATCAGTTCGACTACAAGATGTTCATAGCCTTCGTTTTCAAAGAACAGGTGGGTCAACTGCCTCAGATCTAGGGACGTGGGAAAATCACCAAGAACAACAATTAACGGAAAGAGCCGAGTCTTGTGCACGTTGGATGTGTTCTTTGGAAATTCATGGGTTCACGGCAGTCGGTTGCTAGGCTAAAAGTCGCATTACTAGGGAGGTATCGGGTTACAGAACGTGTTCGAACGTGGCCGCGCGGGAGTCCCAGGCCGGCCCGGGGGCAATGGGTAAAATTTGAAAATAAACAAAAGTAATTGGAGAGTAAATACTCGTCAAAATTAAATGTAATAAGTGATTTTGTTTACCTCAAATGTTATTCTTGCACTGCCTTTGCTCCACTTTGTGTACATTTGCTTCCAAATGAGATCAATTTCGGATTTCAAAAAGGGTTCACGAGAACCAAACAACTGATTTTAAGAGGCCCCGAAAATTAAAAATAAGGTTTGATTTTTGGAGTTTTAGAAATATTACAGTAAATTTAAACTTTCTGTCTTAGGATTTTTTTATTTTTTAACTAAAACTCGACTTACAGTCAAAAGGAGAGCTAAAAACGCAGTGTTTTAACTTTAAATACCGATAATTCATAATCGCGGCCATATTTTAAAAATCCCTAAGACAGAAATCTGCGGAAATCGTTGCTCTTCCAAACAAGACCTCAATGAGGTAATTTGAGCGATTTTTGGGAATGGTTAAAATACCATGTTTGCACGCGTGCTATGACACTTGGACATGGGGACCTGGATTTTATAACAGCGTATACAAGAATTCTGACCTTCAAGGTCACCCACGATGACGGCAGTAGCTTAGTTACATGTTACATATCCACAATAAAATCACGGCATAGATGTAATGTTTTGAAAACGGTTCATATTTGTGGAAAGGTGGATTTTTCCTGTTCCGTGGTTCCCAAGTAAAAAAGGGCTTGAAGTAGCCGGTTGTAGCGGCTTTACTGTAAATGACCGCGGGTAACCCCAGATCGAACGCCCGCTCTATTCGAATGACGTCATATCGAACAAGATTCGCGGGTTCGGGGGATTCGATCTCCATAGTAGCGGATTGGGACTTTTGGGCCCAAATCTGACCATCGTGGTTGATTTGTGTAAACGGGAAATAAAACATAATTGCTCACTATCATAATTATGTATATCTTTGTTTCCACATACACCCATCTCGTCCCGCCCCTCCCCTTCATGACTACATTTAGTTTCTTCCCTCTACCAGAACTTCCGTAAATTATCCTCCTGGTTTAAAAGACAAACGGCAAAATCATATAAATGTAGTTTGTGTCATTTTGATGCAAACTCTCCTCTTCACTGGATCAAAGTAGTATTTGTTTAGGATTATTAAATGTATTGGAATTGGGTATTGGATGTGAAACTTCTTTTGATGGTCATCCAATCAGTCATACTCCACTGCATGTGATGCACTACCCTTTTGCACAACATAGCAGGATAAGCATTACACCAACTCAGTATTCTGATCTCTGCATGTACAAACCTCCTGTTTTGCACACAGAAGAAGAAGCCAGCATTGTTTGAAGCAGCAGAGGTGGTACCTGTCATGACAAACAACTATGAAGAGAGCATCATGAGAGGGGTCAAGGTCTGGTGTTATATGTTTTTGAATATGTCCACAGTCCAGGTTACATATGCTATCATCAATAAGTTATAACTTAGTAATTCTAGCAAAATGTATTTTGATGCATGTACATGCACAATAAGTACATTGTACATGTACAGCACAAAGTGAAAAAAACAAAAACAAATATATGACGACTTGTTAGCAACTTGCAAACCTACATAGTTTATAATCATAAAGAAAGAATATAAATTTGTGATAGCAAATAGTGCATTTATTGCTTTTGATTAAATTCCCAGTTGAGAAGAGTTGAGTGTGGGCACCTGTATACAGCAGGTGATTGTTTTGAGGACACAGCTTGCTATGGGGTAAAGGTCACGAGGTGCAATTGTTCTGTTTCTAAGCTGTAAAAGTGGTTGTTTGAGCTGTCTATAAGTATAATCCGGATGTGGGTTTTGGATTCAAGAAGGCTGACCAAGAGTTTACAATTTACATGCTCATGAATTGTAAATCAACTGTGTATTTACTGTCATACCAACATTGTTAAGGTTTCAAGTTCAAAGTTACAGTGTTGTGGTCAATACTGTTGTGAGAGTCATAGCATCATGATTGATCTTATTTCTCTCTCAAACAAGTACATTTCATTCTGTACTTCTTGTTGACAGGAGGAGGCATACTCATTAGAGAGCTCTCTGGAGCTGCTCGAAAAAGATGTGGTACAGCTACATGCGCCAAGATATCACTCCATGAGGAAGGTAGGAATACCATACAAACACTGCCTGGTGACAGTCATCAGACTCCTATACATTTTATTTGTCTTAACTACTAGTGTGTTCATTCAAGTTCATTGTCAAGTTATTTCTGCAACAATTTATTAATACCCTGACTGAATGTGAGGACTCAGGTGTTGTTGTAGTGAGGTAACCCCTAAGGCTGTTTTGTCCCTGCAGGATGTGATAGGAGCCACAGAAGCCATGGACTTCTTCCTGTGGCCCAGAAATGACATTGAGAAAATCGTGTGCCTACTGTTCTCCAGATGGAAGGGAGAAGAGGACTCTGCCTACAAACCTATGGATGTACGTATAGAATATTTTCATACTCATAGTCTCCGTGATGAGGATAGCTGTTTACATAATGGATTGTAAACAGCCCACAATGTTGGGGATAAACTATATCTCTTTGCAGACTCATAGTAAATATAGAATACAACACGGGGTATTCCGTATCGCCCGAGGTATCGGCCCGACCGCGGGTCGGATCGCCCTCCGGCCTGCGGCCGTCGGGCGATCCGACTCGCGGGAGGGCCGGGACCGAGGGCGATGCGGAATACACCGTGTTGTATTTTATTTATGTCATACCCACCCAAGAAAACACGCCTTTCAATGCAAGATGAGCCAAAAGTTGGTGCCACTGAACCCTAAACTGCAACAACATCAATTCCAACGTCCGGATTCTGTATTCGAATTTTCGAAAGGGGCACACGCGGTTAGGGCGAAATGCGTTCGAATCGTTTTATGGAAGCTAGGGAAATGTTCGATAACGGGTTCGCGGCCCGGGTATGATATAATGTCTTTTATCCACTGCTTGCTTTTTTCTTTCTCATAGCTGTATGTTCACTTGAAAGTTACAAGAACTAAATAACATGCTTTTAAAAGCTTTTGATGTTTTGTCTATGCAGGCCCAGTTTGTGTTCCACCATAGTGACTATGAGAAGCAGCTGATGCGACTCCTGGCGAGAAAGGACAAGGCAGGGCTGATAATCAACAACCCTGCACAGTCCATGTTCCTGTTTGTAGACAGACAACACACAGAGGTGAGGGCTCACTCATGATAAGGTTACAACAATGACATCATGTATATATAAGCTTATTACAGTTTTGTCTGTGTCTTGAATCAGTTTAGCTCAAATTAACATAATAAACAGTTGAGCTATTCTTCATTATCTTCTGATCTAAGGATTCTTCACTTTTACCTGTCGTTCCTTGTGTGTTATACCATGTAATACATTTCTTCAAGTAGGTTAATTGTTTTCTGTTGTCAATTGTTTTTGTTCACCAGACACCAAAGAGCAAGCATATAGTGTTCAAGCTTTCCAGCATATGTCTGTATCTGCCTCAGGTAAGGATGGTTGTCTCAGTTATGTATGCAAAAATAATGATAAGCTGCTTGTAAATTAGGGAACAATGTGGGAGCAGAGGCTAGAAAACAGTATTGCAGTGTTATGACCCATTCCATAGCCACTGGGACACTGTAGTATTTAATGTCTTTCCATGTACCGGTATGTAAGGTTGCATTGAATCAGTCCTGATCATGTTATACTGCTGTGTAGAGTATATACACTGTGTAGAGTACAAAAGACCTATGTTTTGAACTCTTACTTCAAAGCTTCTAGACACTGGACCTGCAAACCAGTGTACACAAAGTGGTTACTTTCACATAAGAGATCATACAGCACACTCAAACTAAGTTAAAGGGTTCTCTTTGACATATATACTTCTTGACAACAAATGATTGTGAGCTTGTTATGGTTCAATGACATGCCCATTTTCCCCCTCAGGACCAACTAACACATTGGGCACCGGGGACCATTGATGAAATACTTCAGCCATACTTACCATACTGACAGGACGTCAGGATGGCACAAGAGACGTTGAACTATGAAACTCTGCTACAATGTGAACAAAATATTTCACATGTCACCATCTCCTGGACACAACAGCCAACAGTTAAGTCCAAATGTTTGCATCAACATTCTACTACAGGATGTTACAAGAGTTTTCACGTCGGTGGCCAAACAGAAATTCATCAGTGCACAGCAGCAGGAAACTACAGTTGATTTTTTAAAATCAAGATTTAGGAGACCTAACTTTGTAGAGATATTTTTATGGTGTTAAGATGAAAAGATCAGCAGAATAATGCTATGTTGATGCACAGCATTTAGTACAGCCAGCATTAAAGGAAATCATACTCCTTGCACTTGGAGTAAAAGGATGGGGAAAGAAGCCACTGCGTCTCTATATTGTAGTAAAATTGGTTGATACTATTCAAAACATATCCGGTTAGCACAGTGCCACATTGTATATATTTGACTCCATGAAGCAATACAACAGGAGTCAACACCTAAGTAAAATTATGCTGCTCTACAGCAAAGTTTCTTGTATTTTGACAAGAAAAAAGAGGGAAATTTTCAGGTTTCTGAGCAAAGAAAGCAATTCTTTGGGGTTGTTAATGAGGATGAGTGCTGAGAAACATTCCACATGAGGGGAGAATATTGTATGTTCATTGTTGACAGTGTTTATCATATCTTAGTTACCATGGTGATGTCTTATGCAATCTTCTCTTTGTTAAAAGTCTTGTTACAAGATGAAATTTTGCTGACACAGCAATATTCATCAGGTAACGGAAGTGGTTAGGGCAATACAACTTCAGTGTGAGAAACACTGACTGAAGTCCCTCTCTAAATGAGTCATTATATTGTGACTTTTTGACTGCTTCACAGTCATAGTTAACAATGATGATTTCTGAAACATATTCAAAAATTATAGTCTGTGTATCAATGGCATCACAACAGCCTCGTATATAATTTCTTACATTCCATAGATCACAATTTCTGGCTTTGTAAAAAAATTATTCAATCTCCCTGCATTACCAAGCCATATTTTTGGCTATTGTGGGAGAGGGAAATTAATATTTTGAACATTCAGAGAACAATGTTAGGAATGTACCGAGTTTGTCCCTTGTGAACTAAGAAGTTCCTCACAAAACTACTGTGTAAGGCCCCTGACTCCCTTGTGTTGTCCAAATGATGGTCTCCTGCTGATACTTGAATGCATGAGATATAACCAGCCACCTTGTGCCTGTAATACTGTGGTGTTACACTGGTGATGAGGCAGTTACAGCTACAGATGTCACTGTACAAGTATGCTCCAAGCAGAGGCTGGAGGAGGCAATTGTTTCCCTCTGATTGGCATCAGTTTTCCGACAGCCATCTCCAACTATCAGAAAATGGGTGCCACTCAAAAGCTGGTAACGGTGACCTCTTTCAACTTCTACTTGCATGATACAAGCATGGCCGGCATATCAAAAATCACCCCAGTCAAAACGTTGCCATAATGTCATGTAATACCACTTGTCATGTATTACTTTTTTTAAAAATCCATTGGCCCTGGGGGCTATTTGGAATCAAGGTGGCATGGTAAGTAGAGAAGACTCTCCAGTAGAGGGAACCTGGTTATCCAAAGCATTATGGACATCAGCACTTTGTAATTTGTGTACTTAATTTGAGCCGACAAATCTAATTTCTGAAGTGAAGAAAAAGTGAGGCTGGTGAACTGATGACGCCTTCAGGTATAAAAATGTCTGTACATATTGAGAAGAGCTTTTACATGTTAAATGGTGACACCAGAAATTCAAATGGGTGAATATTTTTACCATATGTGGTGTATTTTATATGCTATTTTTTGGTGGATGTTGACGTAGTGCAGAGATGTATGAAAGAAACTCTTACGACACGACAGCCCAAACGAACAGAAGAACATGTAGTTTATGTTTAGGCTAGTTGAACAGCTGATACCCGTCTTCAACATTTACTTCGTTTGTAGTTAGAAAAAATTTTTCTGTCATGAAAAAGGGGAATTGTACATGTGCTTACATCAGACTACCTTTGTACTTGACTACATAAATGCTGTTTGTTGCAGGTAATACTATTGTATGCCTGTCAACTGGACATTACCAAGTCTTAATTGATAAAAAATATTTTCTCTCGCTTCCTGAACAGTTCAAATGACTTTTCATGGCTTCAATACAAACTCCTTTGGTATAACGATATCCATCTATTTTTATTTGTGCAGAAAGTTGTTCTGCAGCAATAATGGGAAAGTTTTATTTCAATGCTAAACAAAGATACATTGTATTCCTAAATACATTGTACACTCTAGGAAATGTAAGATACTGTAATTTTCCAAGCCTAAAATTTCTCAATTAAAACCCACAAATTATTCAAATCCTACTTACTATATACATGTAGTACAATTATAGTAAGTTGTGGTCTTGGTTCTATATTTTTATTGTATTTGAGAAAGGAACTTAGGCTATAAATGGAAATCCTGTAAGATTTTTGTAGATAAATTTATACATGTAAATGTTCAAATTATGTTTTCTGTCCTGTATGTTCAAATTATTAGATTACTTTTTGTACTGTTAGTTGTGTCAATCTGCTTGTCTCATTGCATGTATTCCTTGGGAGTACAGGTATATTTTATGTAATTTGTAAGTGATGGCTTCTAATGTCAGACTGAGAGTTTGATGATAAACTATGCTGCTTTCCTCACCTGACTTTATTTGATATTGTATCTTGCTTAGATTTTCTTAGCCATTCCATTCACTTCTGACTATAGAAATACATACATTAGAAGGAAGTTGTTTCTAAGATGTAGAAATGAAATAATTTACAATTATATCTCTGTTTGTTCATGGGCCAAGACCCCAAATGGTGTTTTTTTGTGCCACAGAGAGGGACAAGTACAACTATGGATTCAGTCCAGAATGGTTACATCCATGTCAATGTCATTTGTCACGTGTTACAAGAAACCCACACATAGATGTTTGCTTTCATACATTAAGATAAAGTTTGGTTCCTGCAGATTTAAAAAAAACAAAGGTTTCTCTTGGTGGTACAAGAAAAAGAACAACTATTTGGCCAATGGAGTTTGTTTGATGCTACTATAAGAATGGACCAAAGTCTCTGTTGCACCACTTTCACCATGAATGTGTTTGAATTGGGTTCTTGATCATGGACAAGTGTAGTACTTGGGAGACAATTTCACCTCGTGGGGCCATGGGGAGTACGTAATTTATTTCTACAGTGGAATGTGTATTGGCACAGCTAGCCAAGACAATAAACATGGGTTGTGATTTATAATTGTTTCTCCTGGTATTTTATGCATTTTTGTTGTTCTAAGAGGAACCATGTACTCAATCTCATAAGCTGTGAACTTATTCATAGGCAGGTTTTCTTGTTAAATACACATTGTATTATCAATCTAAAGCCAAAGAGAGAAGCAATAATCAAAACCAGAAAAAACTTTAATTCCTGCATGGACACATCTGAAAACATCTAAACCCTTGTGTGTATGACCATTCTTGGTAATGTATGTGACAAAAGTATGTAAAGTATGTTGTTTCATGTAATTTAGTATGTAACAGTGTATGAAGATAATACCTATGTACAACAGTGGCCAGGACGAACAATCATGATGTTTGCTGTGAATAGTGTTCTGAGTCTGAAAACTTTTTTTACTTTTTTTTAAACTTAAGGCCACACCAATTTAATTTGTTGGTTCTCGGATTTGCCTCTTCATTTTTTTTTCTGATTTGCAAAAAAAAAAAATTCTGGTTCTAAATCAACTCAAATATGGTCATATTTGACCCTCAACAGTTGAGGAAAGTCCTCTTCTTCCTATAGTTACAGTTTTTCCATCTATCAATGCAGTGGTTTCATTAAAAGTTCAAAATTTATTGTTTAAATATTAACCCAGCCTTTTATCCTGACTTCATGGCTCCTATCGTAGCATTTGGGGCTATAATAGGATGCCTAGACTTCAAAATCCAAGAACCAATAAATTAAAGTGGTCTGGTCTAAGAATTGCACATTGTCATGTTTTGACAACATTACTATAATCATGTCTGAGGGAGAATGGTTGCCAAAACTAACAGTCATAAATAATGTGTATGCAATCATATACCTTATCACAAATATACATTGTACAATGCCAATTATCATATCATTCTGCAGTATCTGTGCACTACTATTCAGTCCCCTATGTGTCAGTTTCCCACATGTTTGGTGTGTAGGCCTTGTGCGATGACATCTCCCTGTTCATTCTTGATTTGTGCTGTGGTGTAGGCAAGAGTCCTTCCCATTTTCAACACTTCAGCAGCAATGGTGATGGTTTCCCCTGGTTTGGCTGCTTTCAGATAGCTGGAGGAGAACACAGGGTATGGGTCAATATTGTGAGGATCCATGAAGGGCTTAACGTAGACAACTTCAATCACAAAGTTCAAGAACTTGTAGAAAGCAAATGGTTCCCTGGTTTACCTGACATGAAGGTCCACACTCACTCCTGGTTTTCCCCCCTCCATGGACAGAAGGGCATACGTCGTCAAACCATCCACCAGGTCGCCGTTAAGCCTCCGTGAAGAGTCCCCCGGTAAGTTGAGATGTTCCTCAGCAACTTTCATCTCAAACACACACTTCCCTGGTTCAGCTGACACCACCTGGACCTGGAACAGGCAGGTGATAAAGCCTTGGGTTACTAAGTATAATGTTACATGTAACGTTACTAGTAGCTGTATCAAATCCCCTTTTAACTTCTTTACTATTAACACACCTCTTTGCTAACGTTACATGCACTGTGAGTGTAACTTCCGAGACTGGACTGCCAATGATGAGTGAATACACAAATTTATATTACGCCGTGGCTATATACACACCGGGTGTGTATATAAAAGACAAATAGATTTTATATACACACCGAAATACTAGCCTCCTTGATAGGCCCAAAACCTGGGTTTTTGTGAGTGTTTGAGGATTCAGGGGCACCAAGTTTAAACCTCGGTCTTCAAGTTTATCTTAGTGGATGATGAAAATCTGCCTTACGGCAGCGACGGACTCGGGTGGTGCGGCCGCTCGTCTCTGTGCCGACGGTCGAGCGGAGAGCGGACCGCCCCGCTTGCGCGGGGCCCGGGACCCTCCGCTCCCGGGGGCGGCGGCGGCAGCGGCGAGACCGGTCGCCCGCCCCTGGCGTCCTCGCTACCTGGTTGATCCTGCCAGTAGTCCAGTAGTCATATGCTTGTCTCAAAGATTAAGCCATGCACGTGCAAGTTTAAACTGTCTCAGTGAAACTGCGAATGGCTCATTAAATCAGTTATGGTTCCTTTGATCGTCACATCCTACATGGATAACTGTGGTAATTCTAGAGCTAATACATGCGGAAGAAGCGCCGACCTCACGGTCTGGCGTGCATAATTTTTATCAGACCAAGACCAACCCGGGGTTCGCCCCGGTCCCTTTGGTGACTCTGGATAACCCACCGGCGACAGATCATTCGAATGTCTACCCTATCAACTTTCCGGTTATGTATATAAAAGACAAATAGATTTTATATACACACCGGGTGTGTATATAAAAGACAAATAGATTTTATATACACACCGGGTGTGTATATAAATGACAAATAGATTTTATATACACACCAGGTGTGTATATAAAAGACAAATAGATTTTATATACACACCGGGTGTGTATGTAAAAGACAAATAGATTTTATATACACACCGGGTGTGTATATAGCCACGTTCATTATATTATAATACACTTCAAATGGGCTTGAAACCAGCAGCAAATAGACCCCAAATGATACCTCCCATATGAACTTAAGAGATGACCCACATACCTACTAGCATGAGTTGGTGCACATAGATTTATTTAGGAATTTGACTGGACCCGTGTGGGAGGGGAAACTTTTTACACCCCTCCATTTAAACTTTTTGGAACAGCCCAATGTCTGACCATTTGAAAAACTTGCCATGTGTGCAGGGACGGTGGCATCGGAAGGCGGTCGAGCGCTGTGGAGTGCGACACACGACAGTCCACACAGAACGCAGTTCACATATACATGTACATGTATAATCATCAACGACCGAGGTGGACAAGTACTTTAGTCCTGCGAGGTGAGTGGCGCACACTGAGACAGCATAATTCCTGGAGGACCGGCTGTGACCTCTAGCTGGATCGCCTTTCATTCACCATGCATATGGAAACTAACGTCATCACAATAACCTAACAGATCCTAAATACGTCTCGTGTCTTACAAAGGTATTCTTATTCACAAACCTTATTCATAACCCTGTCGAACCCCTTTGTTTTAGAAATATGCTGCATGACCTGCCGCATGATCTGCAATGGGGAGGACGCCATTTTGTCGGTGTTGACAGCATCTACACGCACGCGTATATGAACTAGCGTCCCTATCTGTGAATTCCCCTGAAAACTCAAGTCTATCATCAATCTAATTACAAAGGTCTCTAAAAGTGATATTGCAAGCGTGCAAGAAAGAATGTTTCATTGGTGTTATGAAATGTCCTGACGGCGAGAAGTTGACTATTACTACTAGTATTGTTGGAAGTTTGACAACACATCGGTAGTCACAACTTGGTATCATTGCCTGCAGTTTAGAATCAAATCAGCAGAGGGCGCAGTTAGACCGTGCGCGGCACACAAGGTGTGGTGTTTGTTTTCTTGTTGCCATAACAACGAAGTAATTGTATCTAATTACCAGACAGGGAACAACATGGCGGGCGATGCGACGTGTTTTTCGTAGCTGCTCAAGATCGGTGCTCGTGATCAGGTCACATAGACTAAGGCTTTCTACATTTATAAGGTGAGAATCACCGAGATAGCTCGCAGTTGCGTATATCAGAGTGATATGATGAGTGTAGTTGACGCAGTTATAGTGGGTGCATGGAATCCAGGTTGGAAAACACTCGTTTTGGCGTTTAGACTACAACTAGTACTACGCAAATTGTGGTTGTACCTGGTATGCAGTGTTATTCAGTGACAAAATAGATGTTTGGTCTTTGCTCTCTCATGTACATTGTCGATTTTTATGACTTTCATACTTGAGGTTTGTCATGTCTTTTGAAACAGAGACCTCTTTGTCCGTTTTACAGACAGGTAAATTATGTGTAGGTGCGTTAACTCTGGTATGTTAATCCCAAAATGATAGTCTTTTTTACTTCTAGTAACAGTTAGAGGTTCTAGAAACTACGGGTATCATTTTATACTCTCCAAGTAGAGGTTGGTGGGAGAAGATTGTGGTAGGGACTAGGGACAGAAATCGGGACATATGACCAAAAGGTCACACAATCTTCCCCACCAACCTCTGCGTGGAGAGTGTCATTTTACTAGTAGTAAATGGCTCCATGAAATTGCTGCTGTTGTTACATTGTACATTGTTTCTCTTTGGCTCGAGGACAATTTGGATTATGCCCCAAACAAATTAGCCCAAAGATTACTAGATTTCCTACCTATTTCTCCTTGTTTAGGGTTACTCATGCCTTTACTCACAAGCAGACTGTTAGTGTTAGTGCTGTTGGTTTTGTAAAATGACTTGCATTTCATTTAACAGTTACTAGTAGTCATGTCTCCTAGTCACCTCTTGCAGATTGATTTAACATGATGTAATAAAAAAAAAGCAGGGCCTAGTTACTGGTAGTGCTAAATGTTTTGCAATAATTCAATTCTAATGTACCTACTGGCAATTTTAAAATAGGTACATTGTGGTACATTGTCCTGATAAACAATTTTTAAGCATTGCAAATATCTTAATTAACTCAAACTCAACAAGTACGCTTTACTCATCAACATTATCTAATAGCTCTTTTATGGTTTGAATCCCAGACAGTTTTCTGCAGTGTAGGTTTCTGAGTTCTACGAAGGGCTTCACAGTGACATGAGGTCATATGATGACCAAGACGATCGGAAGATGAAAAAACGTCGTAAGAAGCGATCAAAGGTCCACCCTGGATACGGTAACCTACAGGAAGACTCGGGTCTGTCAAATGAAGGTTTCGAGATGGGAGAGAAAAAGAAAACCACATTGAAAAGGGTGAGTCTTGTTTAAGTTAGTCAACATACCAACTTAACCTGTACTTATGGAAGAAGACATACCAAATGCAAATTTATTTAACCATACTATGAATATAACAAAATGTGAATTTAGTCTACTGTTGCATCCTTGATCTTGACACTGAATATTTGCTACCATACACGTAGGTGAAAATCTTTTTAAAACACTGCACTTTACTACATGAACCATAACAAGCTACATAAGTCATAACAAGCTACATATAATCTTTTATTCAGTTGTATCTTTATACTGTTTGTAATAGGTTAGAGTAATCATATTGCTGTGGTAGATTTCGGCTCTACATACATGTATTGTTTTTCTCTTGCTGGCAAACTTGGTTACTAGTAAGCAAATGTTCAGGGACTTTGGACTCCAGTCTTGACATACCGTCATTAAAACTTCATTGTGCTTTTGCTATTCTGAAATAGGCAGGCAGGTAGCCGTATTAAATAAGACATGTATTTGCTGTAACCAAGTGACAAGAAGAATTGACGGCAAGATGGTTTTGTTTGTTCTGCAAACAGCATCAGTGCTTAGTATGTAGTTCCAGAAATGTGAAGGAAACACGGGTACATGTTTCTTTATGAGCTCCATGATGCTTCAGTTACACTGTACACAACTCTACATGTACCTGAAGCTCATTTGTTTGTACATGTTTGTATGTTAATGTGAATGTCATGAATGGTTGTACTGGTAACTGTTGATGTTGCTGGCAGGGTAGTTTGATGCCAGGGATACAGCACGCAATTTTTCCACTACTGCATTGTCCCCAAGACAGCAATAGCTTGAATCATACTGTGCCATACAAACCTACCATTACCTCATCAATTCACGTCTAGGACTTGTCATACCTACTTAATTTCAGTTGTGTTTCTTTGATTTACCTTACTTTAAAGTTTTTTGATTAAAAAAATTTCAGAAAAACAAAGCACTCAGACGTGTCAAAAAGATTTTGTTGTAAATATTTTTCTTTTCACTTTTAATACTCTGTAACAAAATATATTTATTAGCTAGAAGCAAAGATTGATATCTCATGAAATTTAGATGGCACAGCAGATCTGTTTTCACATTAAATATTTATACAAGCATTTATTATTCAAGACCTCCAATCTACTTATTCCTTAAATGTTAAAATAAAGGGATTTTGGGAGCAAGGAAGGAAAGCAGAACAAAGATTAAATGCCATTCTTTTTCACTTTTAATTTAATCTGTTAATTGAACATAATTGTAATACAGAAAGGCAGTCAATGTTATTTGTAACCATTACATTAGGTTTCTCAGTAATGTTTTCAAAAGATTTTCAACAACTTGAAGCTCAACAAAAGAGAAAGAAAGAAAAATAGACTCTATCCCTTCAAGCTACATGTAAATTAAAATGAATGTGATTTGAAGTAAAGATTACTGAATGAAAACAGATTGTGATAATGAGATTGTGGAGAAATGATATTGAGACACATGTTGCCATAGTTGGAGGATGAGGAGGAGTCAGAAGAAGAGAGGTCCCAGTTCCATCGGCAGTGCTGTGCTGAACAGCAGACCTTTGGTGTGAAGCGCCACGTTCTGTCTGTTAGCCTTCTGAGCAAGCTCAAGGTCGAAGGTCGCAATGTGTGGAAAGATCTCCTTCAGACAAGAGAACTGGAGCAGCAAATTGAAAGTCGTGGAAGGAAGAAGATGAAAGTGAGATCATGTACCCACCAGCACAGCAAAGGAAATTGGACGGCTGAAAATGCATGATTGATATGATAGTCATTTGCTGGGAAAAGCACGAAAAATGAGAGAAGAGTGAAAGCTTTCATCACCCATTGCCTTTTATTTCAGGGGAACAGCACATTGCTACATTAAGCCACAAAATCATTTTGTCATTTTGATTTTCCATTTGTTGACAACTGTGTTTTATTTCTTGTTACCAAAGGGCACACAGTTTGCCAGATCATTTAAGGTACACCTGCCATTGTATTGCAAGGGAAATGCATGAAATACACTTCATATTTTAACTGCATGATTCACTAACATTTGTCTGTCTAAACTTGCATGCAGCTGCATGATGGAGACCTCCCCTACATGCTACAGGTTGATCTTTATGCCCTGTAGCACCTTTGCAAAGCTTACTAATATCTATCTTGCTAGTATAGAAAAGGCATAAGTCAAACGTCTTGGGTATTAAGGCAACAACATGTAGGTTTTCATCATAACTCTTTCCTATGTTCTCCATGTAATTATAATGAATTTCTTGTTCAGTATATAACTACAAGTATTTCAAATAAAACAGCTTGATACGCACTTAAACTTTTTTGTATCAAAATGTAATCCTAAATTTCTATTGGAAGTAATAAATACATGCAATTATAGTTTATCACCACGTGTCATCCACACATGAAAAATGAAATTACAGTCAGGATACACCTATTTATTGTTTGTATATTACATTTAATTTACATCAAGTCTGTTTTCCTATTTCCTGTGCTCCTTCAGGAAGTGTTAAAAGCTGCAAATGTCTTCTCTGCTGCTCAAGCAGTGCAAGAAGCTGTTTCCAAGTGGAGAAACTACAACACAAGCCGCCGGCACGTCCAGGAAAACAAAACAGGTATGGCAAGGAAACTTTGAATTCATGTATATTTTCCTTCAAGTTGTTAATATGATAACAATATTGTGTTCCCATGAAATTAGGGGCCACAGGTCAAAAAGCCAGGCTAAAATTTGCAAGTATTCCATTCAGAATTGTGTTCAAATGGATGGCACATCCATCAGCAAAGCCACAAAAGAACTGCCAAATGTTTATTGCTTTATTAGAATTGCTTATGCTTATGCTCATGTTGTTTCAAACCTCAAGAGTAATGTGATTACCTGTTTGAAATCCAACATTCAAGACTCAGTGCAGTATTTACACAAGTTGTTACAGTACTAGAAGGAGTTGATTAGTATATAATCACAACAATGTCAGACCCTGTAGGGACACAGAAATGTTTGTATCACAGCTTGATCTAATGTTACAAGGACACAGCTTATTTTACATCAATATTGATATATCATCATCTTACATGTGTAATGTAAATTGTACCTGCACATGTTTTGTGGCTTCGTTTCTTGCAACATCAATTAATTTTGTTAACTGTAACTTTTCTGCTGTGCGGAAGTATCAACATTATGGTGTTCCTGCTAATGTTCTTGGCCATTATTAACAGTGTATCATTAAGAATGTTTGCTATCTATTATCTCTGTCTGTGCTGTTTTGGTGTCTGTGGTGTCTGTGCACATACTGCCACTTTTCCTGCTGAACTGACACATGATGTCAAAACACCTGTTATCCAAGGATGCTTCATTAATGCTTACAGATAAGAAATGACTTGAAATTCTCTTAAAAGTTATAGAAAACTATTCAATTATCAATTATGTTCTCAAATGTGAGTTGGTCAACAATGTAGCAATATCTTTCAGTTTGTTGGTTGGTTGCAATAAGACAATTAACTTAAAGGCAATCCTGCCTTTATGAAGCCTCCTTTGTTGCCATGGTGATAACAAATTAATACACACACTGATGAATCAGCATGTCATGTTTTACCTGTCAATAATTTTTCATGATTGATTACTAATGCTCAGTGGTGTGAAATTCTGAATAACTGCATTTCAACCAAATCAGTCTGGCTTGCAACTCCATTTGTTAAATTCTCATGAAGTCAAATTTCTTCTGTCATCAACTTAAGTTAAATGTGATCATATAGAAATGAAGTTTAAGATGAATTTCCTCCCACTGTTGCAAACAAAGTTGCACTGTCTGGTTTTATTGCTTCACTTCAAAAATAGACAATTCAAAGTAGGGACTTGCATTTTCAAATGAATCAGTGTTGTTTTGTTTATTAGCCAGACTGTATAACCTGAACCAGACTGTGTAACTAGTCAACTAATCCTCACCACCACTGATCATTCCCTGTCTGCACTCTCCTGCAGTTTACAGACACATAAAACCCAAGACAGGTGGGTTCGGGTGGAACTAATACTGTAGTATCAGTCCTGTGTTCCTGCTAGACTAGCGTTTAAAGCATGTTGTGTGAATACAGTTTCTTTTACATGTACTAAGTTAACTCGTGTAAGATTACACAGTAATATTTTCCATAGATAACTAACATACATTTTCAGTATACTTTCTTCTACAATTCTCCTCAGTCTTCTCTGTAGAAATCTTATAGTAAGTTATACTTTATAGAAGCTCTTGTTGTTTGCCTCACCTTGTCTTAAAGCTGTTGTAATTGTGATGAGGCACTGCTTTGTTTCTATATCCTTGCAACAAAGTGGTACCTCAGATACTGGTGCTCCGATTTTCCCCTTGTGCTGGTACAATTACAATGTGTCTGTTTGTTCCATCATCACTTGTCTGGGTCCCAAACAGCCCTGCATCTGTTTGGGACCTTTGCAAGTGAGGATGACTTGTTTGTTACTTTGACTGTGCTTTAAAGACATATTGCAAGAGCTTTGAAGATTTGCTCACTTATACGTAGTATAATATTATAGTATAGTATAGTATAGCATGGTGTATATGTATGTAACTGTAACAGTTGCTGATATAATAGGTAAGTGTACCTATAATAAATTTCATGAGTTAACAAGATGTAGAAGTACTACATGTAGTAATACTACAACCTTACAACACATTAAGTAATGTTTTTAATCTTGGCTAATTCATAGCAAAAAATAAATCATTAAAAGTTGAAATAAAGACCTATTAAAGTGCCCATTGGTACATTCACCATGTCCACAATCAAATTAGATACATTTTCCATATTTGGAGAAAGAAGAGCTTCATAGTGTCATTATTTTTTTGTAGGGGAAAATTTTCTTTCTAACAATATCATCAAGCTGAACTTTGTAACTAATCCCTCCCCTTAGTGTATGCTGTTAAGAAGAAGCCAGAGTTAGAAGGACTTGCCAGTGATCTGGACGATGATGTGGAAGATGATCAAATTGATGCAGCACTGGGGTTTCCTGGGTAAGAATGACACTTGCATCTACACAAGGAATATATCTCTGTCATAAAAATCTTTTTATGTGTGCTGATTTCAGAGATAAGTTGTTTTGTAAACAATTTGCCCAAATCTAACATCTGGAAATGTTTCAATATTCTAATCGTCTGTTTCATTTAACAGCTTAATGTACATAATATTACATGTATTTTGTACCAACCAAGATGAAATTCTGTTGCCCTCCATGTATTTAGAAACCTGGGTGACACATCCAGGAAGAAAGCCTCCGCCAGCAACCGTGCCTTCATCTCGTACTTTGCCAAGCTGGGCAAAGTTGACGGAAGTGATGACTTTGTAGACCTTGATTTCTTGGAGAATCTGATCGACAATGGCGCAAATGTAAGCTCCACAGACCGATATGGGCAGTCTGTGCTTCATGAGGTGGGTGGTGTTATACAAATCTTTCTCTATATGTGGAGAAAAAACAGAAGAAATTGTGTGGTCATTATGATTATTATTGTTTTTTCTTGAAGATTGAAAGGTACATTTATACATATTAGAAATTTCATATTAAAAGAGAGTTTGGGCAAATGTTTGTGACCAGAAGTACAGTATTGATGGGAAATTGACTACATGTGCAAAGAGCCAGTTAGAAAGATCTGGATTCTCTATCAGTGTCAAATGGCCTTCAAATGATGATGACACATTTTCTGCTTCTCCTGTCAGGTTGCACGAGCTTGGCATGTAGACGTGGCCAAGTTTTTACTGGGGAAAGGATTGGACCCGAATCAGAAGGACGTGTACGGAAGAACAGCCCTGCACGTGGCAGCTGCAGTCAACTACCCAGAAATGGTGGAATTCCTTGTCCAACATGGAGGTAAGACAATCTCTTCTCTTCAGATGTACTTACCATTTAATGATAGCAGCATAAATATGAGTTTATTTATTTATTTATTCATTTTTATTTATCACCTAGATTATTTTAACCAAGCCAAGTGTTGGGTGGAATAAATGCATATGACATGTATTTATAGAATCTCTCAGTACCACTACCATATCTCAATTTTTCTCTAAACATGATATATGTAAATAATTTAATCAATACACATAATATAGTCCGGGGTTTGACCCAGAAAAATATGTGTGCTGATTAACTTCTGTTAATAATCCTTGTCAATTGCTTAACAGCGGACATTGAGGCAAAGACAAGAGAGGAGTTGCAGACACCAGTACACTTTGCTGCAAGAAATGATGCAGTGATGTCATTAAAGATGCTGATCAAGCACAATGCTGACTTTAAGAAACAAAGAGACTACAAGGGTAGGACCCCACTGCACCTGGCAGCTGAACTAGGTACTGTCATAAACCATTAGTCATGTTTGAAATGAAAATGTGCAACACCGGTGGTAACACTCGTCAGACAGGTGTGACAATCCAGGACCGTTGTGGTAAAATAAAATTTCTACCAGAAAACCTACCTTCATGATCACATATTACAAAAATAACGTAAAAATAACTTTCAATGTTTGACAGATACTTGGTAGGCCAAAACTTAGAAAACCATTTTTCCTATAATAACATTTCCTCCCACCTTATTTCTGTTGTGCAGATCGCAGTGAGACAGCCAGGTACCTGGTGGAGCAGGGGGCAGAGGCAGGTGTGCAGGACTACAGCGGACAGGCCTGCATCACACACATGATCACCAAAATGCCTCCGGTGGTCAGTACAATTACTAGTATTACAGTACATGTCTTGTGTCTTCCATGAAATCATACCTCGTATAAATGTCTTTTGAATTGTGTTGCACCTGTCCCTACAATTAACTTGGGTTGCAGCTTCATTAGGATGTCCTTCATTGTTTGTTTGTAAGGCCATGTTGATTTGATTATATGGATGACATCCTCCGGGAGCCCCAAAACTGATGCGCACGTGCGAATAAAAAAAAAGTTGTTTTCATTATGAAATCTACGTGGTCATGAGGGTTGAACAAATGGGACAGAATATGGTTTGGCGAATAATCTAATCTTCAAGTTCATTTCCTTACAATTTCGTCTTTTTTCGTTTGATTTTGGCATTCTACGACATTGGTATAGTTCTTACTTATTTTTTTGTAACTTACGGTATATTTTTGCTCATTTTGCAACTGTTTTGTACGATTTACAGTATGGTTGAAAACTTTTTTTTTGGAAACGGCCGAAAATTCATGCGCGTGCGGATGTCATCCATATAATCAAATCAACATGGCCTAATGAGAAATATCATTAAATATCAAAGATGAAGCATTGCTTAATTCATTGTCATCACCTCTTAATTCAGATGCTAATGATGTGGAATACCCTCTGATGTCAATGACTACACTGACTGCTAATTGTATGGGCAAAAAAATAGCTTGACCCAGTTGTACATCTCCGCAGGACAAGGGTTAAGAGTGATTTAACAATCAGGATGATACCCTGTTGTTTCCTTTGCAGGCAAAGGAGGCACTTAACCAGTTCCACCCCACAGACCGTGCCAACAGGAAACAATACTACTACTTGAACAACATTGAGCCTGTCTTGCCTGGTATGTTACCTCTCTTGAATTTGTGCTTGATTTCATTTCCTTGGTGTGCTTTTTTTTTAGATTCTATCAACTTCAACAGAGAGTTTCATCCAAATTCATCAATTTCCAACAAAGGTTGTTATTTGCAACTTGCCAAAAGATTTCTCTCTAATTTGTTCCCAATTCAAAGAATTTAAGACTTCTGTGACCAAAAAAATGATTTTCAATTTCCATGTGTTTTATCTTGGATAGACATTAATGCCGTACATGAAGGGCCCTAAGCAGGTAGCTGCAAGATTGCAACAAATCTCTTGATACATGTTGTATGTGCATGTTTCATCACCTGAAACATTTTAGGGTTACATGTATAAGCATCATTGTCTATTCAAACCCAAGTTTGAATTTCATTGTTCACTTCATGAATTTTGAAGAAACACATTTACTTGGGCTTTAAAACTAAGCATTATTTGTGATAAATTGACTTGGAGTGTCCCGACTTCAAGTATTGTTTTGGCTATTGATATTAGATATAAAAGAAAACTTATATAGCAGGAAATTGTATAAAACAATGTTTATATGAGTTGCTTTATCTGTCTTGTAGTTAGTGCTTCCCCAACCCTAACTCACAATGCTCTCACTATGCCCTAAGTGCTACCAATGATGCTTGTTTCACCATTAAAATGTTTTCAACAATACCTCTGTTTTCTGTTCCCTCCCTCCTGTAGAAGCATTTAAGAAAATTTCAGGTAACGTGAACAGTCGTATCCCATTACATGTATGTCTGGTGGTGGGGCAAGGGTATAACTAATAACTAACACACAAATGCTATGCAGCATGTGAGGAACTGGTCAGAAAGTGTTTGGGAGGTTTGTGTCAAAATAACTCGTTCAAAGCAAAAAAATTAGGATTTTACGCATATTTTTATTGAAAATACATGTATCTCACTCAAATGCTAGAACACTGTGACTAATTTGAAAGATTTGACAAAACCTTGCACAACGCTTTGCGGTCAAAGTCCCTGAGCATGATTGACTGCATCCTTGCAAGTTGCATGAAGTTAACATCACCGTATGCCGCAGAAATCATTGTTCCATCAGACTTGTACATGTACATGGTGGTCTTTTTCTGATGGAGCAGGAAGTAACAGTTACATGTATGTCAACTCTCTTAATTCTGCTGGCTCCCCTAATACATGTAGCTATGAAACCGGCACATTAAAAATGGTGAAGAAGAGAACTCCTACATGTGTGTAATGCAGTATCAGTAATTCCTGAGGTATTTACACTTCAGATACACAGAGTGGTGTTCAGGGCTGTCTTGGGAAGCCTTGATAACACTTTCTTTGATGTGACAGCCTTACTAGGGTACCCAGCAGAGTTACATGTAGAAAGTTGACATTACAGGCTTTATGACAATGGCACCATTACTAACAGCTACACTAACAAAATATAACGTTTATTGAAAAATTGGTACCAAGACCAATTTTGTGTCAAATCTTATAAACCTTGTTACGACCTACACTGATTATTAAGTACAATGGACATGGGCATATAAAGTATCACAGATTGTGAAAAGTAGTCACAGTCTGTTGTGAATTCATCAAGCTTTTGTAAATACCTGTACAGTTAATGTGTGATCATTGATATCACATTCATCTTTGCCATGTTTGAAAACTTGCATACTGCTTTGCAGTGGAAGGGCTTAAATTCACAACAACTTCCATTTGGTACAGATATTGTGGAATCACAGAATACTAAGTGCACTGGTCAGAAACAGACAGGAATGAATTATTAATTTAAAACTACAAAAGCCTCACAGATCAAGTTTTGTGTGAGAGCAACAGGTTGATGATATTTTTTTCAAATGGCAATAACATAAAAAGGTGGCCTGAATGATTAAAAATATTTCCCAATACAGTGCCTCAAATGATGATAAGCATTGCAATACATGTACATGTATATGTTACTGTATATGTCTGAAAAAGAAAATTATGTATACCAGTTGGTATTGAATGGCTTGGATAAGAAACTCATTTCATACATTATTTTTTATTTTCACAGGGGAAGCTGCTGACAGTCTAGCCAGCACACCAGTAAGTCTGAGCTACAATGTATTTCTGTGTCTAGTAATCAGGATCAGAATAGTTTTCTGTGTTTGAAATGTGTGTGTGCATGTTAGTATGTATGTATGTATGTTAGCATTGTGTGTACACTGTACATTATGTTTATTTCAACTGGGTAAGGTTGTTTGTGTTAACATCTTGCACTATTTTCCATGGCCAATACTGTTCCTCACATGTTGCATGACATCAATAAACTCATTATTTTTCATTCTCAACCCCACAGATGGAAGTAGCAGTGCAGTACAAACAATATGAGGTTCTACAACACCCTGTTTTCCTTAAACTCATCAATATCAAGTGGAAACAGTTTGCCAGGTAAATTCTTTTATTTGATAATTCAAGAAGCCTCAACATCTTCCACTTCTTTTTTAATTGCCTTCATTTCATACTACTCAACTTCAACATGTGTGTCTTCATTTTTAACCCAACTTGACCAGGAGAGGAGCATGGTTTTCCCTCTTCCTCAACTTCATCTTCATCGTGACGTGGACAGCCCTGGCCGTAGTGCCTGCATGGGAAGTTAGACACAAATACACATTCCCCCAGGACTGGTGGAGAATCATTGTCTCGGTAAGTACCTTATTGTGCTTTGGTAGTGTAATAAACTAGTGATCTCTGAGCATTGTATTGTACAGAAAATGTAGCCTTTTGCTTTAGTGTGTTACTTTACTGGTCATACAAGTGAATAAAGATTATACTGAATCAGATGCTTGACACACCATTTCCTCCACCTCTGTCCAGAGCATAGCAGTTCTACTGACGTTTTACCAGATCATTGTGGAGCTGAAGGAGTTCTTCTCAGACAAGCAAAAGTTCCATGTAAGTTCTTTACCTCGTACTCTGTTTGGATGACAGTTGATTTTAGTATGGAAATGTTTGCTGCTGTGTGAGAAACAAACATTACCTAGTACATATAAGACAAAGACATACAAGATAAAATAAGTAGAATGTTAGCAAAAACTATAATTATTATGTTTCATTTTAAAAAAGTACTATAACAATGATTGTATTATTTTTTCTGACACTTAGATGTAAAGAATATGCTGTAACATTTAACATCTTAAGTTTACATAAGTTAAACCTAAGAAAATATTTGGGTGCACTGTTCCACCCACATAAAAAAATTGGGTGCACAGCTCCAAGATTGCCACCCAGTATTTCAAGCCCTGGTTTATTTTTTATTCACTAAAATATACAGAAAAGAGCCTTTTAAAAGAGCCTTTTAAAAGAGCCTTTTAAAAGAGCCTTTGAAAAGAGCCTTTTAAAAGTGTATCCTGTAATTTCTGTCAATCCTTATGGCTTAAATTATACATGATGTTTCAATCTTTTCCCTGTATTCCTGTTGGCCCTCAGGCATGGCAGAAATGGCGAACAGAAGAGATCAAGAAAGACCTGACGTTCTGTCATCCACGCTGGCCTGAGGAGCGTGAATTCCTTCTCAGGGAGATCGAGCAGATCCAGGAGCAGAAATCAGTCTATTTCTCAGATTTCTGGTAAAGAAAACACCTTACAGATAATATACAGTAGCTGAAAGATAGAAGTATCTGTTCCTATAGTACGTTTTTTAATCATTGTATAATTTTGCTTCTAACTGTCATTTCCAGTCTGTTTTATTCACTGTTTAAAATCTTGTTTAACTTCTTCTTCTTGTTTAAGTGTTGTTTAAAGAGTTGGTCACCAAATGTAATGTATAAAGATTTATTACTTGAGAGTCAAATTAGTGTCCTTTTTCTTAGACAGGACAGCAGGAGTGTTTCATGAGATTGATAATTACTGTTCATTCTTTTTCTTTTTCCATCATCAGGAATTTGTTTGACTGGACGTTATACCTTCTGCTGCTGGTGTGTATAACAACACACATAGTGGACGTGTTTGCTCACAGTACTGAACTGGCCAGGTGGCACATCAGGATATTTGCTCTCACCATCATCATCATGTGGCTTCGCCTTATGAAGAATGCTCGTGCTTTCAGAGCCATAGGTGAGGTGCTAGGACAACATGTTGGCCAAGGCCACACCAGTGCTTTTCCTTGTTTCTTAGACTTTTTGAGTGAAAATGAAGTAAGAGAACAAGTTAGACTTTGGTTGTTATGTGATATTTGACAACATTTGTACAGACATATTATGACCTAAAATAAACATAGTCTTTATGAGCATAATGTTGTTATTTTCAGGACCCTTCATCGTCATCCTGTCCCATATGTTCTATGACATCCTCAGGTTCATCTACCTCTACCTGGAGTTCTACATTCCATTCGGTAATTACAGAATTGTTAATATTTTTTCAGTGAGATGCATTTTCATGCACATTGTATTGTCACGGTGCAGATTTCATGATTATACCAAATAAAAATTTATAGCTTATTACATTGAATTAAAGCTTACTAAAAAAAGAGTGCTGTTTTTTTTTTTTTTTGTGCCCCTGTATGAACATTAAGCCTTTAAATGAATTTAAACTCATTATTGTCACAGCTGCCCTAAATAAATAAGTTAATGTTAGACTTGCATTAAATAATTTCCCCTAATGTACTTCAGATTTTGTAATGATATTATGAGAATGTTAATGTAACAGCTGGTATTTTCCTCACGCCTGTGCCTTCTGGATGCTGTTTGGGGACAGAGGTGTGACAGGGTTCACGACGGTTCCCCTGCTGCTGTACTCCATGTTCCGCCTGACTCTGGTAGACGAGTATGATTATGACGTGAGTACATTGTGTGCTAACACACGAAGCAAGTTTGGGAGGGGTAGAAACAGGAATGGAAAAGGATCCTTTCTTGGAAAATGTTCATTGTGTAGTTTTGGGCTGTACATGATTTATACATCATGTGTAGCTTACTGCTAATGGTCAATGAACATCAGTTTTTGAACTTCACTCAATTTTTGTTTGGATCAGATTCTATCAATCAGAATGTATACTTTAGTACATGTAATAAAAGCTTCAGTTCGTCTCTTTCTACCAAGAGTTTGAGAATTGCATACAACAATTGTCTATCTAAAGTAAGGGCTTTTGATTATAGGACTGTATTACAACTTCTTTACATGATGCTTACTTGTGTCATGTGCAGGGCCTCCATGCAGAAGATGAGGTATTTGCAGACCTGTTGCTTGCCGGATTCTTCTTCGTCTCTGCAATCCTGTGCATCAATCTGTTCATCGCACTTTTGTCAGACACATTCCAAAGGTAGGGGGAAAGTCTTGGTAGTAACCTGATAGTTTCAATTAAGCTTAAGACATTTTGAATAGCTCTATTGCTGGTTCATGCACTACTGTACAGTATTTTATAGTCTGCACTAGTGGTAGTTGATATGTACTGTATGTATTTTCCACAGGGTTTACGACAATGCGGTGTCCAATGCCATCATGCAACAGGCACAGACAATCCTTGGGCTAGAGGCCAGCATGTCACGGAAGAAGCGAGAGAAGTTCAAGGCCATGATCCACTCCAAGTGTGCCCCTCTGCCAGAGTACTACGACGATGACATGACGTCTGCAGACGGGGAGGACCTACAGAAGATCACGTTCCAGATCATGGTTAGTACAACGATTGCTGACAGAACCCATGCTGCAGCTGGAGTTATTACAAGCTAAGATATGTTTGAAAACAAAGTATTCATTTGTATGAGACTTAGATGGAGGTCTATTCCCTTAATATCAGTTGTGACTTGAAATTTGAAAGACCTGAAAATGTAAACAGTCCAAATAAGTCCAAAGAGGTTAATTGCATTTGATATACAGTATGTCAGAATTGTGCAAGACCTTAGGATATACAATTATATATTGAAGATGAATGTCAAAGTTTTAAGATCTGATTTATTTACAAGTGTATGTCTTGCTGTTGTATTTCTTGTATGTCTTACAAGTGTATGTCTTGCTGTTGTATTTCTTGTATGTCTTACAAGTGTATGTCTTGCTGTTCAGGAAGAGGTTGAAGAAATGCACGAAATGATGAAGATGATGTACAAGCCAGGGGTAAGTAGAAACACAATAATCCAATCCTGGGACTGTAGAGATTCAGGGAATCATGATTATGAAAAATTAAGTAAAATGCCCACAAAAGTTCCACAGAAAACCCCAGTCTGTAAACATAGCAGTTCAAGATACAACTTACTCTTCCAAACAAATATAGTTTGTGAATATATGTGATAAGAGCAAGTACTTCTTTGTCAGAAGTTCCAAGGCAAATGATGTACCCCTGTGACTTACTCTATGTGTTCTGTCTACCTTCATTGTGCTGCCCAGAATGTTCTAGTTATGCAACATCCTCATCGTGTATTAGTAAGTACTAGTACTTGGTGTACATTGAAGCATTGTAGACTTGGGTTTTAAAAAAAGTACCAACTTAAAGTATCCCTAGTATTCCCTACAGTATGAATAAGTTGTCAACCTTCAGCTAAGAAGTCTTGAACTGCATTCTATGGTTATTTTCAGTAAAACACATCTATGAGATTTTGTAGATCACAAAATCCACTTATCATGAACTACATAATATACTATGTAATGCTGTACTATACTATACACTACATGCTAGACTTAAAAGAATATATATTTGGACTTAATCACCAACTTCAAAAGTCTTTCCAACTCTTATTAAGTTATCGTTTGTTTCAAAGCCTACACGTAGAGGAATGGAGGTTTGTCAATCCTATCATGATGACACTAACTGACACAAAATAGACGACAGACACACTGCATTTTAAAGGCAAAAGAAATGGATGAAATTGGAAGCACTTGTGCGTGTAGTGCACAAGAGTTAGAATAAAAGAATTGTCACCTGTAGTTGAATGTCACAGACATCACTCTTATTCTCCTGTCTAGCAAAGCTACATGTATCTCTTAAAATATGTCTTGAAGAAACATCTTTATTGTGATAATCATGTTATACAGCTGTTGTTAGAATAATAGTACATTTTTCTTCTTGTCAGTCATAACAAACGGCATTATATATATTAAACTACCCTTCATTTCAGGATGAGTCCACTTCCAGTGACCACCCCAGACCTGTTGTCTATCCTGCCAGTACTGACAGTGGGCTGAGTGACAGCCATCGGTCATCAGGTCAGTACCAGTACTTCCTATACATGTATTGTTAAGGTTGCATGTAACTCTGTGATGTTTTGGTATTATGCATCTATCTCATCAGAAGTTTAGCTCTGCAGACCATGGTTGCCATATACAGGTACATGCAACTATACACATATATGTGCCCAATGTTATTGTTCTACATCATCAATGTTAAATTGTCCTTACAAATCACTAATTAAAGTCAATGTCTTTGTTACAATACCAGAGAGTGTACGGGTAGCTGTCCATGGTAAGGTTCTCCCTTCTGGTCTATTCAGTTCCTCCCCTTCTCCCTCCTGTCCTGTCCAATAATCACACACCACAGTTTCAATTTCTCATTGGTGTTAAGCCAAGTACCAGTCCAGTAGATGCACACATATATGTAGCCTGTCAGGAAATACATGATGTACCACCCTGTACAAGATGAGATTAAGGGAACAATGTCATCTTCAGTTATTCTTCAGCACTGGATGTCTGCCTCAACGTCAGGGGAGACCTTGTCTCGGTATCTGCTTTTGAGGATTGCTAAGGAAATATTTTTTTCCACTTGTAATTGCTCATGTACAGTAGATACATTTCTGAGATTTTTTTCTACTGATCAAAGAAGCTACTGTACTTAAGGAATTCATCCACTAGCTGCACATTTTGCAGATGCATTGCAAAACATTATATCTCAGCCCAAAATCATTGTCTCTAAGAAATACATTTATCTTGTTTTCAGTATATACTTCATATGTGAGAATACATGATTGCATTGTATATTCCTTATATTACCAGTACAATAATGGCTTATGGTCAGTTAGGTTTAAACTCAACCTTTTCCCGACCTTTCTCTGCAGGTGCGATGGTGTCCCAGGTGCAGGAGGAAGTGAAGACCCTGCGAGATGAGATCAGCCACCTGCGGCTGCGCCAGGATGAGATGTTTGATCGCATGAGGCACGACAACAGTTCCATGAAGCACTTCCTGCAACACTTGATCGACATTCAGTCTCAGGGAGGTAAGGATGCAGTCTGTGATCATTTAAAGCTCACTTAATGGTACTTCAGATATACAACAATTATCTAAGGGTTGACAAGAAATAACTTGTCGTCTCTTTCTTGTTGCTGTATCTGTTGCTTCTTAATAGTTTAGTACAGATAATTATACCCCATGTTTAAAGCAGCCAAGGTAGAAACACGTGTACCATTATTGCATTGTCTTGATGTTGACAGCTTCTGTTTGTCTGTTACCCGTTTATAGGTCTCCAGCCAAGAGGAGGGGGTGAGAGTGGCCCGGTGGTGCGAGGCCCCAGCAGACTGGAGCCGCTGTCTGTAGGTGACCACGGCAGAGGGGATAGAATGAGGGGGTCACCCAGAAGCTCACCACTCACAAAAGAAGTCAGGTAGGTCATAGCTTGTAACTCTGTTTTTTGAATTGACAAATCCATTACATGTAATTATATAATTGGAAATGGATGGGACAAGGTGACAAAAGTTCTAGTTAACAAGATCAATGATTGTTCTCAAGTTGTAGGAGGTTTTTAGATACTCATTGGCCATCCCAAGGTTAGAAAAATTTCTGAGTGTAGCCCTGACCCACTGTTTTCCCTGCCAGAGATGACAGCCCGTTTGGTGCCCGTGACAGAGATGTGGAGAAGGGCCTGCCTGAGTCTTACAGAACCTCCAGCAGACAGAGGAGAGAACAGGAAATGGAGAGGTGAGGGCACCACTAAGTTTCTTTCAGTTGACATCCACTGAGAAAACATATCTGTAAAGTACAATTAAAGTGGTAACTTTCCATAAAAGACTTGCAAGATCAATACATTCTTCAAGAGCAATCTGTTGGATCAATACTGGTTGGACCAAAAGGGACTATGGTGCAATGCTTACCTACCTACCTAGTCACTCCACCTGATTGGGTTGTTTGGGGACAAGGTAGACAATATTTCCTCTCAATAACTATGTTTCCCTTCTTCCATCATCACTTGTTGTGAAGGCAAGACCAGTCAGACACACCGTCCAATGATGTGTCTCCTGGCTCAGATGACGGGCCTGATGGTGACATGCACGCCCACATGGCAGGTGGGGATGCGTGGCAACCTCCGCAGGACGTCAGGATAAAGTCAACCGTCAGGGTAAGCACCTTGTGATAGATTGTGTACCTGACATGGTCTCAAGTTTATTGACATGCCAATGTGCCATCATGGAATAACTGTTGAATAGTGTTGTAAAAATTTTGGATGATTTTGGTCTTGGTTGATGGATGTTACTTGTACTTGTTTGTGCAAATACTTTGTCTTGTATGTTAAACATTCTCAAATGCACACACTTTATGTTATTCTACATTTCTCTCTGTTGTACAGGGTTCATCGGGAACTAGCCATGCATAATACAGCATAGGCCAGCAACAGGCAGCTGATGATGTTTAGTGGTCTTCCTCTACAAATGTATGTGTGTAATCATTCAAAGTAGGTTTACATCATTTGAATACAGTACTCACATGTACATTACAGTACATGTGCATGTAACATTTAAGACAAATGGCCAGTAGGACTGGAATTTTACTGCAGCAGTGAAATATGCTCATCACAGCCTTAGCTTTTGACTAAAATAGTATGTTTTCCACCTACATTTTAGAGATATGGAGTACTTTGGAGATAGCCTTTAATGACTTACCTCAATCAGACTTTTAAGCTGTTTTTGTGATTTGTATTATATTATATTAGGTAAAACAACTCTTCTAAAAGTACCAAAGAGCCTTATACGTTTTTGCTGATTGGAAAATGCATTGTAGATTAAATGACTACCTTGTGATATTTAACAGGGGTTGCCCTAACATCGGACGCTTTTTAAGCGCTCGAACTCACGGTGCTCTATCGCTAGTTATCAGAGAGTGGTCAGGTTTTGATGCCTGATTTTTGAGAACATTAGAAAATGTAAACAACATACTTGGATAAGAAATTCATTCATACTATTCATGAGCCCTTCAAGCTCCGCGTTACATGCGACAAACTCTGTGAGACGTTTTCGTGAATGTACCTTCGTGAATGCGGCTATGCTAGACAGTGTGCCCTAACTTTGGACGCTGTCTTCAGGTGTTGATGATGAAATTAAGTAAACAAAAATAATAATAGAATTTTATGATATTTTAGCTTTCTTTGGACAGTAAAATTGTGATTGTGTGTACTTCTCCTCTATCGAGAGGAGGGTAGTATCTAACGCAATCAGTCCGTGTTTCCACTGAAAACCCCGGCTTACACAATTAATGCGGCCCGGGGGAATCATGGGAAATGCAGACGACAGTGGTGTTGACGTCGTTTTTCACGGGTCGGTTTTCTACAAAACAAACACTCAGAGACCCACATATTTACTGTTTTGTAAAGCTTTATTCCTTGTGTATGCAGCAGTTGTGTACAATCTTGGTACAGGTTTTTTCTTTCTGGCCATGAGCCGCCGCAATGCAGTGGCCCTCTTTCCAGCACCATTGTTATGATTGGTGAAAATGACTGATTTGTTTTATTCATACAACAAATCGATAAATGAATTTATGTCATACCTGGGCCGCGATTTTGTTCGATACGGGTGTTCCGGACCCGGCCATATTTTACGGTACGGCCTGGGCTTCTTTACGCATACGGCCCGGGGCTTACAAATGTTCCATAGAACGATTCGAACCCGTTTCGCCCTAACCGCGTGCACCGCTTTCGAAAATTCGAAGACAAAATTTTTACATCAGAATTGATGTTGTTGCATAATTTGGGTTTAGGGACACCAAATTTTCGCTCATTTCACATTAAAAGGCATGTTTTCTTGGGTGGGTATGACATAAATAGAATACAAGATGGTGTATTCCGCATCACCCTCGGTCCCAGCCCTCCCGTGGATAAGATCTCCCTCTGGCCTTTGGCCGTCGGACAATCCGACACGCGGTCGGGCTGGTACCTCGGGCGATATGGAATACACCGTGTTGTATTCTATATATATATAGACCTATACTTTGGATGCAAATAACAGCTGTATGCATTGACTATGTTTATTTGCCTTTCTAATTCGCGAAGTTAGTGGCAACAAACACAGCATACTTTAATTGCATAATAAGATCAGTAAAAACTCCATCGTTAGGGCACGTCCGAAGTTAGGGCACCCCTCCGTTAGTCATGTACTCTGTTTAATGAAAAATGTTACTTTTGATGATCATGATGACATTCTGAATTTGGTGACCTTTCTTACACTTTTAAGCAATCATGTAAAAAGGAAGGATATGTGGCAGCTAGTATTTCAAGCATTTTAGATTTACCGATAACTAAATGCTTTTAGTAGTGTAGTACTCGAACAATGCCAACAAAATCATGTTGTGGCACTCAGAAGTATCATCTATTGCCTTAGATATGATAGATATGGTAACATCTTGCCTTGGCTACTATATCAAGTGAGTTTTAACCTATTGAACATTAGCATACACCCATAACAAATGTATCAAACCATGTAGACCATGTAAACTGATACTAGTATGTGGAATTACTGAAAAACAAATGTTGTCTGTGATATAATGAATGTTTCTTTGAAGACAATCATCAATAATGGATGTGAATGTACTGCAGAAACGATATATTTTTGTATCATTACAAGCATCTTGAATAGTGTAGTAATGTTTAATGAGTTGCTTTGGTGGCAATTTTATCCATACATAATGTTGAATTTGATAATAGAATACATTTAACTTTAATATAAGTATATGTAATTTTTAGGGATCAAGCTCGTTATGTTGTTCAATACAATGATTTATAGTTTGACAGTTCTGTAGTCATGAACATGATGAAATGTAGATTTTTTTCTCTGCAATTGATGTATATTTCATGATTTGTCTTTCTGTAAGTAAGCCATTCAGATGTTGGCTAATTTTGTTTGATTTTGTGTTCTAACTTTTATTTGATTCTACTTGTCACAGATAATTTTAGGCCAGTATATGCACAATGTATTACAGTATAGTTAATGACTCAATTTCTGGATATTTTTTAATAAACAAATAATTTCCATGTAACCGATACATTCTGATTTTCATTACAAGAGTGCAGTTATTGGATAAGTACTCATTTTATACTATAAACTGATGGAAGTTATAATGCATACATTTGTATGTGTGATGTAAAGCGATAGACTGCTTGGAAAGGGTTATATCAATGTGGTGATGCAAAAACTCAACAATCATGATACATTTTGTATTTAATGTGGTTGCTCGAAAGCCTTCAACAATATTGAAACGATCATAGTACAATATGGGGGAGGGATCCTACTGAAATAGGATAAGGAAAATAACGAGCAGCGAGTGCGTAAACTAACAGGGTCTGTTGGCATGTTACGAATGACACGGCACTTCAGGTGCACTGCCCTGCAGCAAGAGGCCACTGTTTATCGTAAAAACAGCAGAGAGGTTCGGAAATTGTGTTGTTCAAAGTTTGTATTTGTAACCTTTCTGTTATCCCAAGGACATCCACACCGGCCTTAAGATTTATTTTTAGTACATTAACATTTGCTGCCACTCCCACAACGTAGGTTATACTTGCTAGTAATTAGGATTCTGTCACGATACCAATCGACTAGTAAGATACCGGCATGAAAATATATCCACAAAATTCCTAAGTTAGTCTTCAAGCAAATTTACCGTTGGCATGACAGTGGGCTTTCTTCATATCTTTTTGCCCAGTGGTGACCATTAAATATGCTTGTAGATTACAAAATCCCTGCCGCTCAATCATTGTGTTAGTCTCTATTAAGAGTTGCGGCAACAATAAAACAACGCAGTGCGTTTATTTTTGTGGTGGTGCATGTGATTATCCGCACGGTCGATTCATTCACAAAGCAAATTCCGGAGGCCTTTGCCTTGCGAATGAACGTCACTTCCAGAGGATAGCGTCGATTGTATGTGTCTTATGACACAATAGAAAAGTTCTTTGCCTCCGGACAAAATTGTTGACATAGCACTAACAATGCGCCCCATTACAAGCCAGAAGTTGCCAGCAATTGCTGGCCTTTTTTAGCATAGATCACATTCCTGTTGCACTTGCCCCTACACGAGAAAGAGGCTGTTGTCAGGGAAGGTCACGCAAGCTGGGCGTTGCCGGTCTCCATGTTATAGCTGTACAGAAGGACACATTCGTTTCACAGGTGAATACTTCTGATTAATTTTATGTAGGACTTTCCTTTCAACGAAGTGTAAATACGAGTAGTTCGTCTAGCAACCAAAGGCGCGCTTATCATAATCGTTTATCGGTGCGTATAGAGCATACAGAGCACAGACGGTAGCTTGAGGCTTGACAAGTGTCAGAAATAGGGGTCATCCTTATGTATACAAACTTTCTTATCAACAAGATGTGGAGTTCTGCATATACACTGGCAGCTGCTTCATGTGTTTTGTAACTCATCCTTGTTAATAATTATGTTGCACATGATGTCTCGGTGTTGTTGTCTGATGCCCTGCGGACATGCTAGACTCAGAGACATTATCAGGTGTGAGTTATCACACCTGGGTGCATCAGAAACAAAGCACAGCAGTAAACGGGAGGTGTTGGGTAATGAGTTATCAACAATGTACCAGTGATTACTGTTGTTAACGGACGGTGAGAAATTGAAATGGTCATGTTAATCCATTTCATCTCATCTTTGTTTGACAAGGTGTGAGTGTGACTGTTTCTCAAAAAGAGGGGGCTCAAATCAAAGAGCCCTCCGAATACACAATGCATCTCTCCCTATGGTCTTCAATTTCTTCCTACAAGCAAGATCTATCACATCGTCGCCTGCAAAACACACCGAAGTAAATCAGTTTTCAGTGAAATGGTCTCCATTCTGACAGCAACCAAGATTTGTAAAGCCTCTAGCTCAGCTACCAGAGCTTTATAATGCACCAGGACCGTCATCATGTCGTCCTTTATGGTCGGCCTACAGAGCATTGGAAGGAACAGGAAACTGGGAAGTTTAAACTCTTTTCGGAACAAGCCTCTCAGTGAAGAGTTCGTGATTTTTGTAGTCCATACAATGTCTAAAGTAACGCACGCCCATTACTGTTTTAGTAAGCCTGCTAAGATGGCGGCCCAATAATAGTATTCTACTGTGGACAAACGAGTGTCTAGACTACTGGATTTGTGGGACAAAATGACTAAGTGGGACACACCTTTCCGCATTCTTTTCTATCTAGGTCAGTTCTGACATGGGAAGATACGTTTTGGTTGTGTTTCTCAAGTTGTTTCAAATGAGGACGTTTATTAAATGCTGAATCCACAACAAGCGATGCCCCGAAATCTTGTAGAAATTTCGGCTACCGCGGTATACAAATGAGGTTCGAAAGCTAGCCCACGGACGGAATGGAACCTTCTCTCGCGGCTGGTTGTAGGATGGCCATTAAAAGAACGCGTTAAAAGCTTTTCAAAACTCTGTATCAAGATTCCCATCCGCCCCGGAGCCTGGACAGGAGGCTAGGGTGGAGCCACGCCGGGAAGACTACGTATAGTATACACACACGCAGATCACCTGGCCGTTGCTATAACTACGCAGTCAGATCACCTGGCCGTTGCCATAATTCAACGCACTGCGACCTCCCACCGCCTGCACCTTCCTTTCACTTTGACGAGGATATTCCCACCCATCCATCCCAAGCTCTCGAGGTTGGAAGTCATTGAGGTTTGAGACCTAAATTGTTTCTGTTCTTATGTGATCAGTTGATAAGTCAATACTAGTAATATACTATGTTTAATGAGATTAGAAATAAACTGCATTTGTGTTGTGTTTTATTGTGTTGTTTAAGTCTGACATATACATGTGAGATTGTAGGCTTGTAGAAGATTATGTTGACGACAGGTGTGAGAGGCAAACATGTGAGATACATTCCATGGCCAGTTCCTACCATTGAACATGAACTGTTGCGTATAGAAAAAGACTTCAAAATGGGGGGTCGCAAATTGGAGCTTCTATGGCCCTCTGGATCTTTTCTGGTATACTATCCCTTTATTTCGGCCAATTTCTACTATTTTTCCAGCGATCCGCGGTGCCTGGTAGAGGCTAACGTTCTAAGCAATCGAACGGTGATGAGAATGAAGTCTAACATTTCAACAGGCGTTAACAAGTGCTAACAGAATTCACCAGAGACGCGTCGCTGAGCCATCCGTGCTCACACCTTCTGTCATTCCCGCGAACAGCCCCCGGTAATGCCTCATTACTGCCTGCACCACCGATGTACAGTCAAAAAAACTTACCCTAACTCTCTGTATGAAGGACTAATTAAACTACGTAATAAAGGAACTTCTATGGCATCTCTAAGGCGCCTACGACTTTTGAAATTGGAAATGAGAGCTTTAGCCACTAAACTACGGTATAGCATACCTATAGTTAGGTTATTACGGACTGTGTACATAGCAAGAATCTAGAGGGTGATGACAGCAAGTTCAAGGAATGAGGTTAACTAAAGTCAAGGAATGAGGTTAACTGAAGTCTCACAACGCCTCAATTTGAGGCGTTGTGATGAACGAACAGCTGCTTGGGCGGGTTGTGGAATTTGCCGCGCCTAGAGGTGAACACGTCCTCTCTTCTAGCGGGCGGAAGTGAGGTCGGAAGTCACAGCGGATCACATCATGAGCCAAAATAACCCTTCTATGGCCCCACTCCCACTAAAATTGTCCGGATTGATTTGATCCGAATTCATTCGGGCTCGGTCCGGCTCGAAGCTGGATCAAAGCGAATCAATTCTAGTGGGAATGGGGCCTATAGTAGATTCCGGCTATTTGACAGCAAGCGTCATTTGGTTAGCTTTCCTGATCACCTGTTCCTCCTAACGTTTGTTTCGAAGAAGGTATACTACGCCTAAAACGCCCTAGGCCTAACCTTGTCGATACCTTTACTTGTAAATATACTAGTACCATCGTGGAATATTTATGGTGACCTGGTGAATATGACGGGTCGCTGCCCCGTCTCCTATTACAAACACCCCTTCCCCTGAATAGCTGTCAGTGCACGAATTTGTGATACCTTGTCTCTTTCTCTGTAAAATACTCCTCCTGGGTCCACGTAACAGACATACTGGAATGACAACAGTCGTTTCTTAATCTTATGAGTATCGGCGAAATCTAAAAACATCACTGTAGACATTATTGATCCCGTATTTTAGTTATAGCCAGTCCGTTACCGACAAATCGCAGGTGAGGGAAGTCACCCCCAGCAGCCCCCTTTTGATCTTGAAGCTCACCTTAGTTTATTATGATTGAATGCGTGGAACTAAAACAACTTGTCCTGGCTTCCACTGTAGCATCCAGTCAAGTGTGAACACTTTTCACACGATATGCTTGAGGACAAGATGAAACTTATAAAATTACTGACAGGCTTTTGTCATAATAATAAATAAGATTTCTTTGTTCACGCAAGGTTTCTACGGACCGTTTTAGTTAGTCTGAGAACAAGAGGAAGGTTGCAACGTTACAGATGT